TACTGAGCTTTCCCCAAGTGTTCTGCCGCGGCAGCTCGGAGAAACTGAGTCAGGCTTGAAGACGCTTGGCAAGCTCCAGCCACGCAATAAGGGGCTGGAGGCAAGGAGAGCGTGTCCCTTTCCTCAAGTCCGCTGCCAGTTCCAGTCGTGGAGGGGCACCAGTGATCTACCCCCTCCAGCCGACGCGGAGACTCACTAAACAAGCCGCCGACTCTACCCTTGCGCTCGGGACCCTGATTCTCACTCCATTAGTGTCCTGCAAACCCCGGGCCACTGAACTGGGTTCCAAGGACGCCCTTAAAGACACTAGCTTTGTTGCTAACAACCATAGTCATACCCAAAACCTGCGCCCCCTCCGTTATATACGCACAGAAATAGAAATCACAGGAGCCCGACCCCTCCTGCCTATACTCTCGTTTCCCTTGCACCTTGGTAAATAAAGAGTCCCGCCCACACCTAAAAACCGACGCCCCTTCGCTTCACTTAAACAGTAGTGGTGAACTGGTTTCCCACCTTAACGTAGGATGCACCGCATCCTGACGCTTTACGAGTCACATTAGCGGTGACTTTTTGGAACATGCCGCGCGTTTCAAAGAAATTCGAAAGGCAGCCTGTCGAGGGGCTGGGGGATGATATTCCTTGTCTCCACTGGCTTGGCCCTGTCCGCCCAGCCGGTTAGGTCGTGGCTGCCTGCCCGCGCGCCGCCGCCCCTCTGGGAAGTTTGCCCGGGAAACTGGCGCGGGGCCCTGGTTCTCCTTTCGCCCTCCGCACACTCGCGGGCCAGGCCTGAGACCTGCAGCCTGCTCGGCCCTACCCCTTTGAAACCCGGCCGCTGCCTACTACTGGCTGGTCTCGCCTAAAACACTGTCCCCTTACCCTCCCTCGCAGGCCGACCAGATTTCTCACGGAAGCGCGTACAGACCTTTATTCAGCCACTTTATTAAGTTCCTCCCCCTCACCCGTATTCCAACCCCCCCAGCCCAATCTACAGCAAACTTTTCTGCGGTTCAAAGGGGCTGCGGAAACCGCTGGGGTGGGCGGAGCAAACAGGGCCGCGGGTGGGGCGTGTCTTGTGGACCGAGCCGAGCACTCCGGAAGTCGCCTTGCCCTAGGCTCTAACGCCGGAAAGTGAGTCTCCAACTTTCTTCCCGGGTGGGACGCCCCGCAAGCTTCCTCCACCCCAAGTCCAGTCCTAGTGCCTCGGCCTTGCGGCGTAGCTCTGCAGCCTCGGTCTGACCTCCTGGCGTCGAGTTACCATCCACCTTTCCTAGGGTGCTGGCAGGCAGCCCGTTTTTGCACGTAATGCCTTTTCCCGGATTATTCCGGAGCCCTTCAAACTCAACGGGGATTTCTTTCCCTGAATCCCCCACAGCGGCCGCCTTTCCCTGCAGCGGAGCTTTGTTCAGGGACCCGGAGAGAAGGGAAGGCGGGAGAGAGTGTTTTAGAAAAATGGTTCATCCTAGGAGGAGGTGCTCCAGCTCCCCAAGTGCGAACACACTTGGGAAAATATTTCATTTCTTTGCCCGTTAATGTTGCCCAAATTACCTAAAATGATTTCCTCAGCCATTTGTGTTTTTGTTTTAAAGTTGCATGAGAAAAATCTTTAAAATTAAGCGCTGCTCATTTTACCTCGGAGGGGACTGACGCTTCCTTTTTTCCTTTGCACCGAAGGTAGGGTCCGTGACCCTCTCTCTCCCTCCCCTCCCCACCTGGTGTGGGGAGGACTTGACCAGCGCCTTCAGCCCGCCTCATGCCCTCCTGTTCCTGGTGGAGTGTGTCCGGCGGGAGGTCCCTATTGGGGCCAGAGATCTAAGCTGTGAGTGAGAGGCAGCGCCCGAAGAGACTAGCGCTTTCCCAGGTCCTTCGAAAACGCTGGGCGAAGGTCGCCGCTCGTTAGGCCTTTGGGATGTAGCAAAGCTGTAGCTATGCCCTCATGCCCCAAAAGGTGGGAGTGGGAGCGGGCTTGTATCTCCACCTGGTCTGAGGAATCTGCAAGGGCGGGGAGCGCTGGGTCCCAGGAGTGACTTGCTGGATTCGAAAGTTCGAGAACGTGAAGGACGCAGCAGCAAAAGGTCTGCAAAAGGCCAGAGCGGTCACAGGCCGTTCTGCTACTCTGTTTGCTCCAAAAGGCCTCGACCCCGAGGGATCTGGAGTAGGGCCCCGTGCGATGCATCTCCTAGCCTTCCAAAATAGTGTGGGAAAATCATTAAGAACTGAAGTTCACCGTTGTCCTGGGTTCGACGGCGTTCAGTTGCCCTGCCCCAACCCCGCCCCCAAGCGGCTTCTGCCCTCCATCACCACTTCGGGGACCCTGTGGGGTATACCCGAGTCTGTCTGCAGCCAATTGGGGAACAAAGATTAATTGCCACCTCAAGGAGAAACTGGTTACTGATGGCCCCACAGCCATACCACACGTCCCCCGATCCATCTTCTACTTGAGGTTGGCCTACGAGCGAGGCGGAGAAGCAACTGACAAGTGAGTGCTGAGGAGTTCAGGCAC